ACTATTAGAGCTTCTTTTTTTAAAAAGTGATTCAAATAAATTACAAATATTCACTTAATCAAACTAACCATGATGATTTAGACCACATGATTGTGGTCCAGAGGGAATTTTATATCCAAAAGCTAAGGAGAAACTATTCCATTGCAAAAATGGTACAGGTCCCTTTTATCCTCCATTCTACTTCTCCTAGCGTAACATTGATACAATACTGTTAACTAATTTAGAGACATCATTCAAATTTCACCAGTTTTCCCAGTAATGTCCTTTTTCTGGTCTAGGATCTTTAGGATCACACAATTATGTCTTACTCCCGTCTAACGTGTAACCATTCTTTAACCTTTTTTTAAAAAAAATCTTTCCTGACCTTTACACTTTGAGGGGTACAATTTTTTATCCACTGTTTTGTAGAATACTTCTCAGTTTTGCTTTTCCTGATGTTTTTTCATGATTGGGTTGAGGTTGTAAATTTTTATCAAGAATGCCACAAAAGTGATGATGTGCCCTTCATAATGTATCCCATGAAGAGGTGCATGGTGTCAACATGACTTCCATTGGTGGTGTTAACTGTGATCACCCTTTCAAGGTGGTGTCTGTTAGATTTCTCCACTAAGAAGTTATGATTTGCCCTTTGTAATTAATGAGTATCTTTGTAATTAATAAGTCATTTTGTTTTTTTAAGGTTTTATGCTTTCTTAAATTGATAGTCAAGGTTGGAGCAAGTGTCATTCACAGAGGGTTGCAAAGTGTCCTGTCCTGCTGGGAAGAAACGGTGCCCTAGAAAATGATGGAGTCATTATTTAAGTGTTTGAATAGATTTCTCTCAATCCATGCTGAAATGAATTTCCTGACATTACATTGCAGGATTTTAAGTCCTTCCTCCAGGCAAATCTCATAGTTACTAGCAAAAATGAAAGTGTGAAATGCTTTTTAATGTATATTTAACAACACATAGTCTGGTGATTACTGATGTGTATTCTCTGTGGACTCTCTTTGCTATCAGAGGAGGATGCTAAGAGACAAGTTTTTACACATTTACTCTATCTAAATCTATCACGTTTACTTTTAAAATATCTATGACTGTCATTTATAACAAGATCATGAAAAGTCAAATACTTTAAGTCTAACTCAAACTTTAAATCATAGTATTACAACCAATTTTCAGGAAAAGCACAATTACCTTTTGCAAGTGATGTTTTCCTTACTCTACCTTATGAAATTGACTATTACTAGATTATACTAAAATATAGCCATTTAAAGAAGAAAAGATACAGCTTAGTAATGGGAGTACAAAGGGTACTGCTACTTTATTCATATTTTTGATTCAGAAATTCATATAACTCCTATTTAAAGGAATTTTCATCATTGAATCCAGTGTTATGTCTGCTTGTGTTGAAGAAGTAAATTTTGCAAAATGTATTTAATTCCTTCCTATGGTGTTACTATTTAATAAGAATTAAGGTACCATTTTTTGCATTTATACTGGGTTGCACAGCAAGAGTTCACATCTTATACTAATATATGCTAAATAGTTGCATAGTATATAGATCATTGTTAAAATAGCAGTTCTGAAAGCATTTTAGATCACAGAGCCCCAGTGGTCTACATTTTGTTTGCTTTGACATTATTAAACTCAATCTGTTTCTCTAACTGTGACTCTAATTACTACATTTGCATGGCAGAAAAGTTTGCTTTGTGGGTTGACTTTTATTAACAGTGCTTGCATGTTGTTTTCTGCTCTCGCTCTCAGTGTTTCATGAGCAGACAGAGCACCTTCAGTTGCATTGGATAATTATGCACGATCAATAAGTTTTTGTGTTTGTCTTTGTTGTTTCTTTGATGTGGCCTCTAGGATGCTGCCGGCAAGGTGCTGGACCGCTGGGCCATCATGTCTCGAGAAGAAGAAATCATCACCCTTCAGCAGTTTCTGCGGTTTGGAGAAACCAAATCCATTGTGGAGCTGATGGCAATTCAGGAGAAAGAAGGGCAGGCTGTGGCCGTGCCATCTTCAAAGACAGACTCAGATATAAGGACTTTCATTGAGAGCAATAATCGTACCAGGAGTCCCAGCCTCCTTGCTCACTTAGAGAACAGCAATCCTTCCAGCATTCACCACTTCGAAAACATCCCAAACAGCCTTGCGTTTCTGCTTCCATTCCAGTACATAAACCCTGTCTCAGCCCCGCTGCTTGGGTTGCCTCCAAACGGGCTACTGTTAGAGCAACCAGGACTGAGGCTGCGGGAACCAAGCCTTTCAACCCAGAATGAATATAATGAAAGCAGCGAATCTGAAGTATCTCCCACACCTTATAAGAATGATCAGACACCCAATAGAAATGCCCTGACCAGCATTACTAATGTGGAGCCCAAAACCGAGCCAGCCTGTGTCTCCCCCATTCAAAATTCTGCCCCAGTTAGTGATCTAACCAAAACTGAACACCCAAAAAGCTCATTCCGGATTCACCGGATGAGAAGGATGGGGTCAGCCTCTAGGAAAGGAAGAGTGTTCTGTAATGCATGTGGGAAGACATTCTATGACAAAGGTACTCTCAAAATTCATTATAATGCTGTTCATCTGAAGATCAAACATCGATGCACCATTGAAGGTTGCAACATGGTCTTTAGCTCCCTCCGAAGCCGTAATCGCCACAGTGCAAACCCCAACCCTCGCCTTCACATGCCTATGCTAAGGAATAACCGAGACAAAGATTTAATTCGGGCCACATCAGGAGCTGCCACCCCTGTTATAGCAAGTACAAAGTCAAATCTTGCACTCACAAGCCCTGGCCGGCCCCCAATGGGTTTTACCACTCCCCCACTAGACCCTGTCTTACAGAATCCTCTCCCTAGTCAGCTGGTGTTTTCTGGGCTCAAGACTGTACAACCAGTTCCTCCATTTTATAGAAGTTTACTCACTCCAGGGGAAATGGTGAGTCCTCCAACCTCACTCCCAACCAGTCCCATCATTCCAACCAGTGGTACCATAGAGCAGCACCCCCCACCACCCTCTGAGCCAGTAGTGCCAGCAGTGATGATGGCTACCCATGAGCCCATTGTTGACCTGGCACCCAAGAAAAAGCCCAGGAAGTCAAGCATGCCTGTGAAGATTGAGAAGGAAATTATTGATACTGCTGATGAGTTTGATGATGAAGAGGATGACCCCAATGATGGTGGAGCTATGGTCAATGACATGAGCCATGACAATCATTGCCACTCCCAAGAGGAGATGAGCCCAGGCATGTCTGTGAAGGACTTTTCAAAGCATAACAGGACCCGGTGCATTTCAAGGACTGAAATAAGAAGGGCCGACAGCATGACTTCTGAGGACCAAGAGCCTGAGCGGGACTATGAGAATGAGTCTGAGTCTTCAGAGCCCAAATTGGGTGAGGAATCCATGGAAGGGGATGAGCACATTCACAGTGAAATGAGTGAAAAGGTCCTGATGAACAGTGACAGGCCTGATGAGAACCACAGTGAGCCCTCTCACCAGGACATCATCAAGGTGAAGGAAGAATTTACAGATCCCACTTATGACATGTTTTACATGAGCCAATATGGACTGTACAACGGAGGCGGGGCCAGCATGGCTGCCCTGCATGAAAGTTTTACATCATCTCTGAATTATGGCAGCCCTCAGAAGTTCTCCCCAGAAGGTGACCTGTGTTCTAGCCCAGACCCCAAAATCTGTTATGTGTGCAAGAAAAGTTTCAAAAGCTCCTACAGTGTGAAGCTTCACTACAGGAACGTTCACTTGAAAGAGATGCACGTCTGCACGGTGGCTGGCTGCAATGCTGCCTTCCCCTCACGCCGAAGCAGAGACAGGTCAGTAAATCTCCATTGGCTGCTCCTGCTGGGGGTGGGGGAGTGCTAGTTTCAGTCATATTAGACTTAGCATTAAAAAATCCAAATTAGATGTTTTTGATGCCCTGTAAAGATTGTTCACAGTGACCACGTGATAACTAAGCTGCCATGCTCATGAAGGATTGTCGCAGTTGGTGCTTGTTATGATTAAGCATGCAGAATCATATGCCATCTTATCCAGTAATGCACGCCATTTTTCTCTGTGCACTGTGTATATGTGTGTGTGTATGTGTTTCCCTGCATCTAGGTGTGAGTAAGTTAACTATGTACACAGTTTCCTGCTTCCTCATGAACCTTCACTTAGAAGCCTCAGCTTCTGTGTGTATATATATATATATATATATATGTGTGTGTGTGTGTGTATATATATATATATATATATATATATTTCTGCTTTGCCTTGTGGCTTTTTAATTAAATCAATATATTATCTTCATACACACATATTTATCCAATATAGAAACAGAAATTTACGGATGGAAAGAACCATAGGTCCAGGACATCGAGACAGCCTGCATCTCCGTAGGTATAAACAGAAATGTTATCATTCCTTACAAGAGTATTTAGTGGGTCCTTGAATTCTTTAAGAATCATGAAAATGTGAGAAGAAAATGGAATCAAAGTAATTGTTGATCTGGGGAAATGGTGTGGGGCTATGGGTTTCTTTATTTTAAATTCAAAATGACTTTGAACCATCTCTAAAATATAGTCTACCATGGGAATTATGCACAGAAGGGGAGGCATGCATATACTTTTAGGATCAGTTAGAATATATGATGTCCAGTCTCAGATGACATCACACTCTAGCTATGTAGCTGCAGCTCTGAAACAGTTTGGTCTTAAACAGAAGCAGCTGGTCCTGAACCTACAATGTTCTTTATTAATCCTAAAAAAAAAAAAATCTAATATAAATGGAATGTGTCAAGGTGGTGGCAGTGGTGGGGTAGTAACACAGTTGGAGATAAGCTTGTGAGCAGATCATTTACATAATATACCAGTCCAACTCAGGTTACACACCAGTTTAGGTATTCCCACTATATCAAATGTGGTTTTTGGTTCTACATTGTCTTTTAAAAATATTTTCAGAGAAAATTGTATTACATAGTAAAAATCAATATATGTGGAAGAAACAAAATTAATTAGGAAGTTCCCAAGTGGCCACCACCAAAATTCTAGTACTTATCAATTGGGTAAAGTTCTTTGACAAAGTAACATGTAATAAAAGTACCACAGAGAAGCAGTCAACCTGTCTCTACAATATTCTGCTTTGTCTTCATATTTGAAAGATTAATACTTTTTAAAATAAAAGTTTAAAAATATATTTTCCTTTCTGCAGAAATAAAAGGTGCCCAATCTATAAAAAGCAAATTCTCTAAGAAAAATAAGTGGCTTTCTTGTACAACTCGAAACATGCTTTGAGGAGAAATCTGTCTTAAAGATTTTCCCACCCCCATTTACCTTGTTCTACAAAACTTGTTTATAGTCACGAAGTTTTCAGTTCCAAGTTATTTATTGACAGTCCCAGAATACGTCAGATAAGATAGCTGTACTTAAAATAATAAAATAAAATACTATACCCAACCTCCCACAAGTTCGTAAGTAATATTCATTCTTTGAAATTTGAAATAGTACACTACTGATAATGAGGTTAATGCACTGAATTTTTTTTTTAACGAAAATAAAAGACTCATGAAAACCTGCATTAAATATTTATGGAAATGGAGTGTTTGAAGACAAGCCAAAATTTAAGCTTATTTGCATGAATTCCTCTCACAGTTTTAGTTGGTTTGCTGAATTATTGCAAGTCATAACACTGGAATAAATAGCTGTGGGACCAAAAGGCTTCATACCCAAAGCTTGGTGCTTTCATTTATGTCAAACCACTAGAAAACGCAAGTGCTGGTGTGTTTATGTCCTAACACATAAAGGGGGACTATCAGTTTGAGGAAAAACATTTGATAGCAGGAGAAAATTTCAATCCATTTTTATTCAAAGGATTAGGAGCTTAATGAGTGACTGCCAATATAGAAGTGTAGACCAGTGTCTAGGATAACCAGGATATATTAGGTAGGAAGCATAGTACAAATATGCTCTCATTTATGTTTGGTCACACAGGAAATAGCAAACTTTTTAGAAGACACTTGATTTGTTGCATTTGGGTGAAATATCACATCATACCTAGTCCTTTTAATTTTAGAGTTTTGTCACACATGACAAAAGAAAAACAGCAAATTGAAAAAATATTGTAGAATGAAAATTTTGATTCTCACTTGAAATTTTTCTTTTTAAAAATACAGGAATCTTTTAATACCAGGTTAAAAGCAGAAACTTTAATACTTTAGTTTTGACATTTTTTTTTTCTTAAGAAGTAAAGTGTTCACCCTGCTGAGTCTATGACTTGAATCAATATAATAACACAAGTTTAGCTACCACCAAATAACTAGAAACAGCAATGCCATAGGGGTACCAGCCTCTTCCCTCATCTCAGTAGGGTAAACTATGAAACAGAGTTGTGCTCTTGTTTTAGCCTTTGTTATTTCATCAACTAATGTCAGCCTGTGATGTAATCTCTTTATTCACTAATCTATCCCTTTAGACTTATCTTCTCCTCTGTCTTCACTTTTACTGTATTAGTCACGCGAACCCCAGGAAGTTTGTGACCCTAGTTTTTCCCTCTTCAATTCACTGTGAATCTAAGACAAGTTCTCTTACCTTTCTATTAAGCCAACAGACCTTCCCGAACAGAAATCCTTCTTTGTCATTAATCCTGCTGTCCTCAGGCCCAATTCATTTCTCTCCCCAGAGCTGCAGTTTCATCCATCCTTGACTCCACAATGTCTTCCTTGTGCAAATAAGGCATTAGAGGGGATTTTGAGTGGGGGCTGAAGTGTGCAAGTCTGCAGGGTTTCTAGGATGCCTGTGATAAAGCTAACAGAATCATACTCTTCTTCTGTTTGTAAAAGCAGGCTTGTCAACTTTATGATTAGAACACCTTACAGGAACTATATACAGGTCTTCCTGGGTTTCTTACAAGATGGTTATACATGAGAGAGTTGCATTTTTAGCCTCCAGATAGGCATATTAGTAAGATGGAAGTAGAAAGATGTTAAGTACTTTATTTTAGGTTTGGCAGTTCGTTTGCAAAGATTCCCAGGTCTTTGCTTATGGTCCTTCTAGATTTTATAAGATTAAATTGAAGACTTTTTGAAAAGCAAGAATGTTCTTTGTCTAAAGTGACAAAGAGGTAGGAAAGAGAGAGAGACACATGCAAGGTTTGTTAGGGCTGTGGATTCTAAGCAACAGTGTCAAAGGTATCAATTTCTGTATAGTTGTGAGTGTGTATTTAATAAATTCAAAAGCCAGGAGGACCATTCCACATTAATGACAAAGATCAAGCTAATATACACAAAGTCCAGTTCATCCCAGTCACTAGGTAGCTGTTAGAATGATTTTTATTCTGAGTGATAGATATGGAATGTAAATAATGTTCTCTGTAAAGAACTCTGGTACTCCAAAGTGATTGCTAAAGTGTTCAAGTATACACTGATAACATTGTGTAGTGTTAAATTTTAGAAGTCTGTAAACACTCTTCCTTCCTTCTTGTTTATACCTTGATTTTTCTGCTGCTGAGATGCTGTTCTGTTAGGGAACAGGAGGCTAGCCGTCCATTTTGAAGTATACATATGAAATCTTCCCTAGGATGAAGAAATTCTAACTAACTGGCCTGGAACCTACTATCTTCATAAAGGAAATTTTCTTGAAGACAGCATCATAGTCAGAATTAGCTGGGCTTAGTTTACCTTCTATAGTTTCTCATCCTCTGACTTGATTTTTGATCCCCAGTAGGGCTGAGTGCCCATGGATTTAAGGGAAGCCCATTTATAAATTAAATTTGATTTTTATTCAGGAAAAATACCCAAACAAATTAATCCCCTTCTTGTACTCTTCCATAACATTTTTATCATTTGCTAATATGTTAAAATTTATCTATATCTATTTTAGTTGATTGGCTATTTTAAAACTCCCTATTCATTTTAAAAGAATGCTTAGTACTTAGAAACTAGATGATCTGTATAGAAAGAAATATTAGTCTTTTTTTTTCCCTCTCTACATGAGTTTTGCCATCTTTGTTCCTCTCTTCTCAGGGTGGTGGTCACTAATTGTCAAAGTTTGTCTTAAATTTTATCACAAAGGTAAGCATGTATATTTGACTTCAAAGTATAGGGAGGGTGATTCAACCACATGAATAAATTTAAAAACAAAATAATATTTGCTTAGGGTGGTTTATAAATAAATATGAGGCAACCACTGGTTTCAAATGTGAACTTTCTCTTTGATTGCTAGTTAAATCAGTCCAGATTTAAACATGTAGTCTTCTTAATTTGTACAGAGTAAGACATCTTTATTTGGTTTATTCAAACCTGCTGATGTCTCCAGAACTGAATTTGTCCTATACAGGCCTCTGGGTAGCTATAGCTAAAAAGCAGAGAGATATAGTTTTTGCTTGCCTGATTACCTGACTTCCACCGCTGTACAGGTGTGCAGGAATAAATTAACAAGAGCAACCTCTGAAGTGCCGCTGCATACATTAACAGCAGAAGTGAAGATGTGAAAACATGCTACCTGCCTCCTGTTATCACCTTCTCAGCATAGCAACATCCATTTTTTCCATCACTCTCTATGTTTGGAAACTTATAGAGAATTTTTCTATAGAGACCTTTTCAGTAAAATACACATGATTTCACCAGGCAGTACCTCCAAGAAATGTGCCACTTAGCACCAATTCAAGAAAACTATTAGTATATTTGCCTTAATAAAATTAGTTGTCAAATAGTGTGTTAATCCTCTCCACCTAAAAGAAGAGAACCTTGTAAGGCATCATCTGTTTCATTTCCTACATTTTTGCCAATCAAACTACTATTCTTCATTTCCAAAATTTTTTAATAAAGAGAAGTTGTGCAGGTCCTCCTTCTGACTTTTAAACGTTGAGATTTTTTTCTGTATTTGGTTTCACAATAGAGCCAGCAGATCAATAGACCTTTGTACTTATCTCCATTACTTCCCATCAAAAGCAAACAAACAAAATAAATCCCCCTCCTGAGTAATTGCTAGTTGTGTCCTTCTCAAGCAAAACTTTGGTAGTAAGATAAACTTTGGTGTCATTCCTGTCCCTGGGGTTCTTTTTATATACTGGGAGAAGAGCAATGAGCAAAACGGTCTCCTTGTATCACGGGGAGAGACTCTGTCAAGCCTAAAGTGAGTCTTGGATCTTCCTAATGACCTCCTGCTAGCCCAGCTGGATGCAAGACAAGCTCATTTAAGCCTCTGCTGACCTTTCACTCCTCAACTACAAGAACTACAGCAGTCACTTCCACTGTCTTCAAAACTGCGTACCAAATAGACAACAAAGCTGATGAATGAGTTCCCTTTCATGATGCAAAGAGATTTTTACAAATTTCTGTTGATGGAAGTTAATATTAAATCTCTTGTGGCTTTATAACTTCTATTGCACACGCAAAATGCTTCTATATAGCTCTTATTCTTAAATTTCCTAGAAGGGAACAGGCTACTACTTTCACCAGCATTATATTGAAAATTCAGGCAAAAATATCAGTAGAGCAGAACGCACATACTGAGTGCACAAGTGGTATTTTTCATGGTGGCACCACTTTGAAAGGGCCGTCCTCCTGATTTTCACCTCCCTCTGGTCCACCTGAATTTGTCTGACCCTCTGATAGGCTTTATTGGTTGTCTTTCTTGTACATAGTCATTCAAGGTAATCGTTTTTGTAGACAATCATTTCTTATTTAAAAAAAACACATACATTTTCTGCCAGGAAGAGGGTGGAAAGACTGCAGACATACATTAACATTCACTTGTGTAACCCTGGCAAAATCGGTTCTCTCTTAGGTGGAAGGCTTCCCAGCAACTCTTTTACTGTAAGTGATTGATCATTTGTTGTTAAGAGGAGAGGAGGGGGACTTTTCTTTTTCTGTTTGTTTCATACTGAAGGTTGAGCTATAAAGCATATTTTTTCTTTTTTAAAGCCTTTCCAGAAATAATGTTTTTGCCATAAGACTCCTGCGAGCTTCAAATAAATGAATGTGGCAGAATATGAAAGGAGTTTACACTTGCCAAAAAATTACAGTGTCATAAAAAAGGGATTCAGCAACTTTGATTCCTGAGTGCCCAGATGTGTGTGAGAGAGAGAAAGGCCAGCTAAGACAGAGGAAGAAAGAATACTTTTTAGGAAAGGACAATTCTTCT